CCCGGCCCCGCCCCCGCCAGGCACGGCCCCACCCATTCCGCGCCGCACGCCTGCTGCTGCAGCGACATGTTCTGCGTCTGCACACGAGAGATGGCACGCCTCGTTAGATTCACTCATTTGTTATTTTGTTTCCGGGCGCGTTCAATATACGTCGAATTATGTGAAGAGGGATTTGACGTAAGTCAGCTGGTACGGTGCCATCCCATCGGGAGCTTGAAGAGCATTACTGTAGTTCCCGATGGGATCACACCGTAGGAGCTGATTAAACATCAAGTGTCATTATAAATAAATCTAAGTATACTACGGTAATTAATTTCTGTTCATATGAATTACAAAAGTTGCCTTTCCATTTACAGTTGTCTTCCAAATAAAAATATGGAATACGGTAAGTTGTTATTGTAATCAGTGTATTTTAAATGGCACTGTTTTATGGTATGTCTATAATTTGATAATTGTAGTTTGTATTGTTGGTGAATAAATAATTATTGTCATGTTTTGTGTGGTATATATCCTGAAGATGGGAGTCAAGGAATACTCCGAAAAGTTGCCAAAGAGATGATGATACTGTATAGATTAATAAAAGAAGTATACTAATAGTTGAATCATGAATAAATTCAGTTGCCTATATTAGTTGAAGTTTTATTTGGAAGACAAAGGCAATTAATTCCGATAAGGTAATACATTTGAATTTTTTACCCCGGGAGATGGCGCCCCTGCTGGTGAATGGTGAGATTCGGTACCGGCCTACATTTTCACTAACAGGGGTTTCCCCTCCAAGTATCCCATACGCGGCGGGGAACAGCCCCAATCGGGACATATTCTAAGCGGTAGTGTGGTGCATGTAAGTTGAAGTGGAAGACTACAGGAACGAGGAAGGGAAGATCGCGCACGGTATGTGGGCCGATTGTTAGGGTACTACTCCGGCAATCGCCGGGTATTGATAGGAGAAACCACGGAAAACTACCGATCAGAGCAGCCGTCCACTAGATTTCTCCTCCAGACAGCGGCTGAATGCTACCTGACTATCTAGCTGTAGTTTTGAAAAATCCGGCGTCGCCGTCGGGATTCGGGCCCTAGGTCTCCCAGTCAGAGACGCGTCGGTGCGAACAGTTGTTGCCCTGAGCTATCTCAGCCCGAAGGCGACGCTAGTCCACGCGGTTTACGGATGACTCATCCGCGGCCGGGGAATGCGTGAGTCACGACGGAATCGGAGCATAAGCTGTGGAATGCTTTCATTGTCTGCATGAAGTTCCACATTGAAAATGACGCTGTTTAAAGATGATGTAGCAATAAGAGAATATCATTCTTTGCGATTGATTCAGCGAGCCAGTTTTAAAATGCAAACTCGCAACAAACAATTGAACAGAATCGTCATTGCAATTGATATTGTAAGTGCGATTCATATGCATTTATGGGAATGGCTCGTAAATTTGTAATACCGTTTACGCGAATATTTCGAGGCAGAGAGGGCGAACTCCAGAGGAGACTTTACTACCTCTCGACGACAATGTTACAGGTAGAGTTGCGACTGCATTGCAGATGGGCCCGACAATAGGAATAGAAAAGAAAGCCTCCCCGAGCTGATACATCAAGTTTTCAACGCGGCTTGAGAAGCAATGAGGTTGGGTTATGGCGAAGATTATTCACATGACATGAAGACGTGTTATCGCCTACCGGTAGTGTTAATGTCTTGAAATTTCATTTATCTGTCATGTAGGTAGTGCCAGGTGCATAGTATTGTTTGTTAACAGCGCATCGAACTGTTAAAGTCGCTTACACGCTGCAGATACTATAGATGCCAGATTTGAGAAACGAAATTTTCTGGTATACTAGGATTTATTTACTCGTGCACTTGACCTAAATCAGCTGTTAACAAGTTTATCCAATCGGGAGCTTGGAATGTCCCCATATATCACTATAGCGATATATAAGTTCGAGTGAAGTGCACAACTAAATAACTCGTACTGTAATTGAGAATGTTGGCCCTTAACGCGGTGTAAAGAGTACTGGCGGGGATGTCGGCGGCTCACCTGGACGACGAGGTTGGAGGTGCAGTAGGGCGTGGCGGCGTCGAGCGAGTTCCTGGACGCGCGGGGGGAGCCCCCGGCGTGGGCGGCGGCGGGCGCGTTGGCGGGGGGCGCGGCGGCGCCGGCCAGCCCCCGGCC